GGGGGAAAGTGATGAGTTGATGGCAAACACAAATTCTCTTTTATTGCAGCAGGTAACTAAATTCCCGGGTTTAGCTAATGAGCCTGGTGTGGGGATACCTGCTTGAGGAGTCTTCCTTTCTGGAGTTTACTGGAATCTTCTTTCAGGGTACAGATGACCTAGAGCAGATCTGAGTGACAGCCATACCACGTGAAACAACATGGTGTGCAGGCGGCAAGATATAGGGTTTACAGCACAGCGTGGGAGACTGACAGATCCAGGGAAAATCCTGGCTCTACCTTCACCAGCTACACTTAATAATAAAGTCTCCACTTTCTCAACAGCAAAATGATAATAACCACACCACAATATAAGACAATACCCAGCATATAGCATGTAATCAATAAGTGGTGGCTCTTCTAAAATATTTTTATTATTATCAAGTCTTTGCTATGCTAAGGTTTGCATTATTGTACAGAAAAAGGAGAACAGCTTCCCTGGGGAATAAAAGATCTAAGAAACGAAGACCCAGGGAGCCTTTTTTGATGGTGCTCTCAGAGCCTGGTGGGGTCCAGAAGATTAACCTCAGGAAGGTTCTTGCAAAGACCTCACCTGCAGTGGGGATTCGGCAGTACTAACAAGTTGATCTTTGGAGCAGGGACCAAACTGACTGTCCAGTCAAGTAAGTGGAGTGGGGGAAAGGTTGTTATTGGCACCTAATTCTTTGTCCAAGACGCTGAGTTGAGCTCAGGTGTTTTCTTCTGTTGGATCCCACATGGCTCTCTCCGGCCAGCCCCAAAATCCTCCCATCCAGCTCCCAATGCTCCAGAAACATCCTCAGGCTGGGACCTTGAGAATCATGAAGCAGGCAGTGAGCAAGCAGTCCTGGACCTTCCACAAGGGGATCCCAGCAATGCTGCTCTGATCGGGAGCGTGGAGAGGGGACAGGAGGGGGCTGCTTACTGGATACTTGGTTTACTGAAACCCAGCCTCCTGCAGCAGGATAGGCCAGGAGGAAAGGGACCAAGCACGCAAGACCAAATCTCAACAAGAGAGGTTATGAGGTGTGACCCTGAAGAGTGTGGGTCTCCTGTCCCCTTGGGAGACCAGTGCTTGTCCTGTTGAAGCACTGGTAGGTCCAGTGAGTTTCCGTAATGGTGTCACCTGCAGTGTGAACATGGGAGGAATGGCTGGTAGACTCACATTTGGGAAAGGAACCCAAGTGTCCATAATATCTGGTGAGTCTTCCCAGGTGGCATCATTTGCAACCCCGGGGCCATGTCACTAATCCTTTCCCTGAGCATATAAGTTATTACTCTAATCAGGCTGACTGTGGGTGTTCTGTCTTAGAGAGGCCTCTGTGAATGGAAAAACCATCATCATCCATCTTGAAAATCTGTGTTTCACTAGATCAAGCACATTAAAATTTGACTTTAATCATTCAATGGGTGCTTTTCGGTGCCTTCTATGTAGCCATCACTCTATAAAATATTAGACTGGGTAGGAAGAAGTATAAGATAGATGCCTGACCTGTCCCCAAATAGTATAAAACCAGCCAAAGGGACAGAACTATTGTAAATTTAGTATCATGATGGCCATGGGCATAAGAGACTGGATTCAGAGACTGGAGAGTTGGCCTAGGTAGAGAAGGTTCTATCAGTAGAAAGGATCTGTTGTGCCTCAAGGACACTAAAATCTATATGAGCAAAGAAGAGGGACTGCAAGCATCTGGATAAAGAAAGACATGATCTTGAGGATAAATGAAGCATATCAGTTTGGCCTAAGTAAACTTAGCTGATAGAAAAATCAAATGGAGAGAAAAGCAAAGAAGCTGTCCTCTTAGATGATGGGGAAAAGGAATAACTGGGCCCTCAACAGAATACAGTTAGGGCCAGAGGCAGTCACTGGGAACTGGGAATCTAGCTTAGACATACAGGCCAGATGTGAAGGTGAGAGGGTGAAAGGGGCCAGCTCTCTCAAATGGCTCATAGCCTGGAGCCCTCTCCTCCTCAGTTTGCTCCAGGAAATCTTACCCCACCCCTCAGAGGAGGAAAACCCTAAGGGTTTCTGTAATGGAGACATTGGGAGTGGTAGGAAGGTGTTGCCTTCCAGATGCAATTTGGCAAAGGAACCAGAGTTTCCATCAGTCCTGGTAAGCCTGCCCAGTCTGCTTCCTGACACTGAGCAGGGCCTTGGTGGGCCCCAAAGGCAGTGTTGCTAACTCACATGCCCGGGTTCCTAGCACTGAAGTACAAAGCAGATTTACTGGGAAGGGAGCTTTCCATCACCGCTGTGCCGCTGGGGATGGAAAGCACTAGAGCATTTGGACATGTGCTTCTGCAGTTAGTTTTGAATTAAAATGAAAGGTTAGGATCTAGAATAGCTAAACTTCTACACTGAAAAATTGATCCCATCTTACTAAGGCTACCATCTCTGGTAGGATGCGTTTATCTTGCCTGGATGGAATAGGATGTCTCCCCCCAGGGCTCTGGCAGCTATACCCCTAAAAACTCCAAATTAAAAGTGACTCATTTCTTATTTCAGACAAAAAGATAAGATTGTACTAAGGGTACATCGGAGGTAAAAGTGAAAGAGGAGCTTTGAAAAATCAAGTTAGGGATCAGTATCCAGGTTTGGGGCGGAAAAGCCTAATATGCAGAAATTGTACAAATCTGATAGGCACAAACCCATATCTTTCTTCAACGATTGTTTCTTGAGCACCTACTATGTGGTGCTGGGGATAGAGCAGTAAACCAGAGATAGGCCTTTGCTGTCTCAGAGCTCACATTGCAGAGCTCATGAAGGACATAGGAGAGACTGGAGAGAGGCAACAGAGCCGCCCCGTCCATGGCTGCCTGTGATGGTCAGGCCGGGAAGCTTGGGCGTCATGCTGCGGTCTCCCGAGAGCGCGGGGATTATTTTTAACAAGTGACCTGTCAGCTGCGTGGTTTAAACAGTACATTGGAGGGGCCCAAAGAAGAGATTGAGGTGGGGGTAGAGGGTCAAACAAAGTTAGAAATTGGAAGTGGGAAAAGGTAGATGGGAGAAACAACAGCAAAGGCGCAGATAAGGGATTCACAAGGTGTATCCATTGGGGAAACCAGACTTGAGGGAGGCTGAAAATCACCTCGGTTCTTTTGACTTCATCTATTCCTGTTTCATTTCTGCGATAGCTGTGTTTAACAAGTGACCTTCCCTGGTGATCACCCCTCACAGATTCAGAGATCGTTTTTAAGGCGCATCCTCAGTCCCTGTTGCTGCTCCTCGGTCCCTGTTGCTGCTCCTCACGTCCCGTGGCCTCGCTCTCTCCAGCCCCCTGCTGCCCAACAGAACTTTCTGTGATAATGGAAATGTTCTGTCATTTTCATTGTCCTACACAGAAGCCGCCAGATGTGTGTGGCTATTGTGCTCGTGAAATGAAGTTTTAATCTTTAATTGCATTTCTAATTTTCTTTTGCTTCGGTTAGTTCTAATAGCCATGTGTAGCTCAACTATCCTATCGGACAGCGTGGTCTAGACCTTCTCCCATCTGACACCCATTGGCTCTAGGACTTCAATATTTACCCAGGACTCAAAGTTGGGCGTCTTGGCCCCACAGCTGCCCCCCCTTCCCCTCTAAGGCCAAACTGCATCTGGGGGCACCTGATCCCCTTCCTTCTCCTTGAGGCCACATTTTGGACCTTCACATTCTTCCATGTTCCCCTCCTCATGCCCACCCGTGACTCCCACAGATGACTAACAAGTCCATTGGGGTGTGTGAGTGGCCATGTGGCCCTGGTCACTCCTGCGCTGCTTCTCCAGCGGCACTGCCTTCACGCGGCATCCAGGGCCATGCCAAGGGCTGGCTGTCCTGGTTTTAGCCCAGCCGCATAGCCCAGGCCACCCTGGCTGACTCAGCAAGTGGGGTGCGTTGCTGGTCTGAGAAGCCTTGTGTGCATGGTGAGGAGCTGGGAGAGGTGAGAACCACAGGGGCAGGAAGTTCTAGTCCCAACCCTGCTGTAAACTCTCTGGGTGGCCCCAGCGTGTTAATCCTCCTGGCAAACCTCTGCTTCCTCCCCTAAAAGCAGGAGGTCTGAAAGAACAAACAATGAGAGTGCATTAAAAACATCAAATCCCACGGAAATACTGAAGAATGATTCCCAGCACTAAGGAAAAGCCTCCAGCAACTCCTGCTTCGGGGGGCGAGGCGTGGAAGCTGTATATTACTCAGTTGTGCGTTCTCGTGGCAATTTCCTGGTAGAATCTGCCGCAGCAATTCCTCTCATTTGTTTGGCAGTTTACAGTTTATTAAATATAATTTTATATAGAAAAACTCTCATTTGTTTCTCAGAATAGCCTGCTTAGGAAGGTGAACTAGGCAATGTCTCCATTTTGCTGATGACATTCCAGAGACTTAAGAAGCTGGTGTCACTTGTTCAATCTTTCCTATCTGGTACATGGTGGATCTGGACTCGGTCACAGGTGTTCTGATCGATAGTCTAGGACTTTACCAATGAGAGAACTGACAGGGGCACACACACCAATCTTCTGACTTAATGGCAGCCTATCAACTCCCTCAACCTTGTCGATGCCCAGCCTGAGTGGGGGAGGCCACCCCAGGTTCCAAGATATATGGTTGGTTTCCTTGGCTGAGTTTTTTCTCTACGCTTACTTGTCCTGCCAGAGTAATGTTGTTGTTTGCCAGGCCTGCTGAGGTCCTGGAGAATTCCTATTAAGTAGAAGAATGAGCAATATCCGTAAGGAACGCTGCATGTCTGGTTTCTTCAAATGAAAGACGGGGCCCTGCAGAGAGCATTCACCGAGAGCTGAGCTCTTGGCCAGCACCCGCGGCCTCTGCCTGTCCCCAAGTCCCAGCCCGCTGCGAGCGGCTGGTTTCTAAAACACCCTTTCCCGTGTAAAGCCTGAGCTTTGTCAGCCCCACAGGCCTGCTCTTGCCCATCGCTGACATCTGGGTCCAGGCTCGGGTTGGGACAAAGTCAAAAACAAGAGCATCTCCTAACCATCATCTTCTTGCTCCACAGTTATAAAGAACCCTGAAAATGTCACATACCAGCTGAAAGACACCGAATCCAGCAAAACCCTCTGCCTTTTCACTGATTTTGATTCTAACAACAACGTGACACTATACAAGGAGGACGATTATTACAAGACGAACCCAACTGTGCTAGACATGCTGAGCACAGGGTCCAAGAGTAACGGAGCCGTGGCCTGGAGCCGCACAGGTCCACTGGATTGTAGTACTATCTCTTCCTACAAGTTGCCCACCACCCCAGGTGAGCACGGCCTCATGTCCCTGCGAGCTCAGTGTCCTGGCTTTAGGGCTCTGCTTCTGCCTGGGCTCAGGTCAGAGGTATCGAAGAGCCAGTCATATTGGTGATCTCAGCCTCTCATCTGCCAACAAACTTCTCCACCTCCTTTTTACTGAGCACCCAGTGAGCCCCATCCTGCCCTGCTTTGTGTTTTTGTCCTGTCCTGAACAAAAAATCAATGGGAGAAAGAGGCAGGAGGGGGCACTGGCCCAGCCTCAGCTTCACCCATGCTAGGTTCTCTAGAACCTAGAGTTTGGGCTCTGTCTCTGCTTGGGCTGTGTGCCCCTTACTGTTCTTCCAGGCCCTGTTCTAAGGCCTTCTCCACAATACATCCCTCCTGCTCCTACCCAAAAGGATTTTCTTAACCTCCCTCAGTCAATCACTCATTCATTCAACTAAAGTTGATTGTGCATGCACAGCATGCTAGTCACTGGACTGTGGGAGCAAACTAGTCAGATGAGGGGCTCTGCCCTGAGGAAGCTCCAGTCTAGTCTGGAGAAGCCACTCATGAGCCAAGGGAACTCTAGATCGCAGCTTGTAACATGTGCTTTAACTTGGAGTTGAAGAAGTAGCTATTTTAAGGCTAGAGTCATGGAAGAACTCTATAGGGAAAGGTTGTTTGAGCAACTCAGAGAATAAGAAGGTCCAAGCCACACCACGCGGAAAGAGGGGAGCGGAGGCCTGAGACAGGAGCACAGTGGGAAAGGGGAAGAGCACCCGGAAATGAGACAGAAGCGGGTGTGGCCAGGTCCCACGGCCTCACGTGTCAGGAGCGGGCAGACACTCGCCTAAGGGCAGTGAGAAGCCACCGATTGGTTCTACGCAGAGGAATGCCATCTAAGCTACTTTTTTAAAAGAGCACTCTGACTGCTGAGTGGGGAATGGATTATAAGAGCCAAGAGTGGCAGCCAGAAGGCTTCTGTCCCAGCAGGGAGGTGATGGTGGGCTACCCAGGCAGGTGGTAGCGGGGGGAGCCGAGTGGACACCAGTATTTGGTGTTCAAAATACTGAGATGAGAAGGAAATGAAGGAAGGACTCGAGGAAGGCATCAGGATTTTATGCCTGAGCAGCTGAGTCAACGATAGCTGCTTACTGAGATGGAGAAAAAAGGAACAAATGTGGAGTGCAGGGATCAAAACATTTGGGGACCCGTGAAGTATCTTGCAAGCATGTATGTCCTACTGCCCCTATATAGCCCCAGGTGGGAACCTACCCAGGGGCAGTGTCTGTGTCTGATGGATCCTTCTGACTTTGTGTCCTGGGATGTTGTATATTGCACAACCCATGTTTGTCATGTGAATGAAGTGGCTCCTGGAAGCCTGGGTGTCAGTCTGGCCAGGCCCAGTGGTCCGGCCAGGCCCAGTGGCTCTCCCCAGCAGTCGCCCACCTACAACGAGTTCCCTCCAGATCACTCTGTGAAGAAGCGCTTGTGTGCGGACGCACAGCTTGCACGCAGGCTGTAGCTCTCACCACCCAATTCCTAGGCGATATGGGCTGCAGAGTTGGCACAGCCTGGATCTAAGAAAATGTCTTTGTTTCTCCTTTTAGAAAATTTCTGCAATGCCACATTAATAGAGGAAGGCTTTGAGACAGGTAAGAGAGGGGTCTATCTGGCTTCAGACAGGAGTGGGGAGGGGGCAAACCCACAGTAACCCTAACTGGAAAGGGGAGGGAGGAAGGAATTTGTGTATCTAGGACTGAAGTTATGAGCCACAGAAACAGCAGCGCAGCCCTGCTCAGAGCTCCCTGGCAGCATTCTTGAATCTTCAAAGTCCTCTCGGTGTCTGACTTTCTTTTTCCATTCTAAGGAAATTGAAGGTGCGTGCTTTTATTCTGGAGATGAATCTCTACTTTTATGACACCAATGACTCACTCCCAGGCTCCGCCATCAGGAGAGGCTAAGATAGTTTCTGGGCGGCCCATCGTGAGACTTTGGCTTTCGCATGGCCCTAAACTACCCAGGTCGCCCTGAAGACACCCCTCGCCCCTTAGTAACCAGGGAGTTTTGTTTTCTTGCTAGAAAAGCAGCACAGTCTATGTAGACAGTGATTTTGTCTCTCAAGGGCCCCCCACCAATTCACACACACACACCCCTCCCACCTCTCTTGGGCCCATATTCATCTCCATTTGAGTCATTTTGACTGAATCATACTTCTGTGGTTCTTCCCCTGGATTCCTGTGAAGGGGCCCAGACACAAGGGCCTGTGATAAGTTCTGAGCACCCACCCCCTCCCCATCCCCTGAGGGGCTCAGAACTAAAGTAAGGACTAAGTGTATCTGATATGTCCCTTTTGAAATGAAATACTATTACCCTGAGGGATGCACAAATGTGTTACGAGGGAAAATGCACAGACGCTCAAGGGGAAAGGCAGGTCAGGAACTAAAGCCCACCATGCTTTGGGGAAAGTACTAGGCATGACCTCGGGGGCTGTGCAGACGCAGAGGCACAAGCTGTAACTTTTGTGGTCCCTTGGTTTTACAGACATGTACCTAAACAACCAGAACCTGTTAGTGACCGGGCTCCGAGTCGTCTTCCTGAAGATGGTCGGGTTCAATGTGCTCATGACTCTGCGGCTGTGGTCCAGCTGAGGTGAGCGCCTAGCTGGGCTGCTGCAGGCAGGGCAAGGGTCTCAGACTGGGTTCCCAAGCTCTGAAGACACATGTCCCCCAGGGCCTTGCTCTCAGGCCCTAAATCCAGGCTGCCAAACTCCTGCGTCTTCTCCCTACTGGAGTCCCTCTTGTTACTAACAGTGGCCTGGAACTTTCAGCCACCCAGTTGCGCCAGGGCACGCCTGAAAGTATAAGGTATCCTCATTTTGGAAATGAAGGCGCTGAGGCCAAGTAACATGAAGGCCACGCCAGCTCAAGAGCAGAGCAGTAAGAGAAACCCAGGATGGGAGTCCATTCACATCCACGCCTCCTGCGGCACCCCCTTCACTGCCAAACCTGAAGCCCCACTCCTTCCTGCATGTCCTCGTCAGGCGCTGTGTACTCTTGGGACGCCAGCCAATTCCTGGCCCCATCTCCATGCCCCTCACCCCAGCGTTCCTGGCCTTACTGCACACATGTGCACCCCATGCCACCACCATCAAAAAAAATCTGGGTTCCTCTGCAGATGCAGGCAACCCCATCACATCCCTCACTGCCCGGGTCTCCTCAGCATCCAGCCTGACCTCTCGCCTTTCTCCTCCCAGGTCACCAAGACTGTGAGAGCCCCGTGCTCCCGGCTCCTTGCTCCTCACATCTCTCCTCTCCGTCTTCAAGCAGAGGTGCGCTCTACCCACCCCCCAGAGGAGAAGGCTCCCTCTGCCCCTCTGGCCCACTGGCATCGCCACCAACTGGATCCTATGGGATATTTGTGATCAAGATGCCAAGGAGCTGCCAAACTCTGCCGCCACCCCCTCTCTTCCCTCATTGCTGCTTGTCACTGCCTGACATTCCCTGCAAAGGCGGAGGCGGCTGCTGTCTCTCCTCGCTGTGGAGAACCTCCCGAGCCCTCCCCCAGAGACTGCCTCTGGGGCCCCTGGGATGATGGCCCCCCAGTGGGTCCTCCCAGGCTCCAGCTCCTGCAGAATGTTGTGAGCAGTTTATATTTTTAAATAGTGTTCATAAGAAATACATATCACCCTTTCCCCAAGATGCGGGGGAGATGATCTCATTCTCGAGGCCTGCTTTGCTGTGTATCTGAGCCACGCTGTACAGCCCGCTGCCCTCACTTCATTAAAAGCCATTTGGAAGAGCAGAGACTGTGCTTCTGTTTGACTGGGTTCGGGTGGGGTCATTTTCTGCTTGCTGTCGATCCCGAGCCGGGCAGAAAGAGACCAAGACATTCGTCCACGATGCCGCTCGGGGAACCTAACCCACAGCTGCTTAAGTCAACTTTTTAAAATTCCATTTGAGCTGGGGGCCAGGAAAACCCACTGAAAAGCTCGGGCCCCTAGCTTCTGTTCGCATGCCACTTCCCTGCGCCCCCCAGAGCAGGAGGCCCGTGTACACGGGTGGTCATGGCCTATCGTTGAGACTTGGCAGACAGGGACCACACAGGACGTGTCCCCCAAATGCCACCCACAGTCTCCTGCCCTCCGGGAAGATTTCCTTTCAGACTGGATTCCTGTTAAAACTGTGCATTGTCCCGCAGACTCACGTCTGGGACCACACACACTCAACTCTCTAAGTCCCGACCCAATGTCCAGCCCCTTGGGATGCCCAGTCCAGGAGTGGGGGCAGAGAGGTGGGAATTGTGACCCTAGCCAGATTTTATACCCCACCATCCTGGATGTGAGGGTGAGGAAAAGGGAGATGAACTCTTTCCCTTCAGACCCAGATGCCTCAGGTATGGCCCAGAGGACGGGACGTGATTCTCTGGGGCTCTTGGGTTTCTCCTGAGCCTCCTGCTGCCAGTGCACCTTTCCTGGAGTCATTGATGCTCCACCCCAGAGACCCCTCAACCTAACGATAACTCGAGACCAAAGCAGAGTGTCTACCAGTCCAAGGGTGGGCCCAGTCCTCTCCCCAAATGCCTCCACAGTTCACCTGTGTGTCTCGGACCATACCAGGCAGAAACATGGAAATCCTTCCAGCTACAATCCAGACCTGCTTCTTTGCAGGGGTGCCCCAGGCAGGCCCCTGCCCTCCAGGAGCTCCAGGGCCACCCCCTATAAATGTCAGGTGAGACTGGCAGCTGCCTCCAGCTCCATGCGTCTCTGACCCTATGGCACCAAGAAGCACGGCTATGTCCTGGTCAGCTCTGCCGAGGCGAGTCACAGAACCCCCTGGTCTTTCTTTCACTGCAGTCTAAACACAAGTCCCTTTAAAGATACTAACAGGAAAGGGCTCTGTGGAAATCTGGTCATCCTCACACATGGAGGGCCGGGGGCCGGGGGTGGGGGGTTGGGAGTGTGCCACCTTCCCAAAGGTGGTTTGCCACCTACAGGAACTCAAAACTGCCTCCTCATCAGCCTGACACATGCCAGAGATTTCACATTGGGGATTTCTTTTAATTAAAGCATTGTCTTCCCCAAATTAAATGAAAATGCCCCCGGGAGTGTTAGTAGAGCAAGCCTTTATCAACTGTTAAAAACTTAGGGCAAATTAGTTTGTCTTTTTTTCCTCCTAAAGTGGTAATTCATTTTGGTCTTCGAAAGATCCAGGCGGGAACGTGTGGGTGGCGGGGCGGCAGCTCTGCTCCTGAGAGCTGGCTCCAGAGATGTGGAAGCAGATAGGAACGAGGGCCTGGGACAGGGGACAGGAGCAGGGACCCTGGAAGGCAGTGAAAGGAACAGAGAGACGCCTCCAAGGCCTCAGAAGAGTCCCAAATGAGGATGACAAGGAGCCTGTGGGGCCAAGCCAGCCAGGGCCCTCAGATGGCAGCCTCCCTGGTCACTGAACCCTTAAAGCCACCTGGGGACTCCAGCTGTGGCAGGGGATCCACCCAGCCTCCTCCTTACTGGCCAGTCTAAGCTGAGGAGTAGCTGACAAGGGCTCTGGCAGGCCACAAGCCATCTGGAAAGCAGAGTCAGCACAGCCCCTGAGAGGTTTCCATCTCAAACCAGGGCAAGAGCCTGCCCTCAAGTCTGAGGCTATTAAGCCTAAAGCCAATTAGTGCCGAGTCAGAGGGGAGACCAGGAGCGAGGGAGTGCATCAGGGGGTAGTGCTGACTCCCCTCATCTTCATCTCCTCTGTCCTCACGTCTGGCCCCAGGCTCCACTGTGTGTCACAGAACTTACCATGGTCCTATAAAGGTTGGGGAAGGGTACCTGTGCCCAGTAGAAGGGTCTGCCTAGGCCACCACCACAGAGCCCCCAGCACAGGAAGGGACAGGCATTGCTCAGCCTGAAGGGAGGAGGCAGCAAAGGAAACCTGAGATGTTGTCATCAAGGCCATAAGAAGGCCAGCCCTGAAGAGCCCTATACCCACTGGAGGAACCAGCCCCGAGGAAGGAAGGTCACCATCCCAGTAGGAAACTTGTCACCAGGCCAGTTGTACAACGAATTTCTCTGGCCAGGTGCCTTACTGCCCCAAAGGGCCTAAGTTTAGGCTAATCCTCAAGACAGAAGAATGGATCCCAAGGGTCTCAGCCTAAGATTCCAGAAGATTCTCTGACTTCACTAAGAGACCTGCCTCTGAATGCAATAGAAATCACGGGCCAGTCAATAGGCAGTTAGGCTAAGCCAGTGTATGCTTTAGGAACACCCGGGAAGGGTCTTCAGCACCAACAGAGAATCCCCCTGCAGAGGCGGCCACTAGAATCAGAGGGATGATTTTTTTCCTGTTCTACCCATGAACGCTAACTCTCCTGAGGTCACATGCAAAGTCCTTTACACGTGTCACCTAGTTACCAGGTAACATCTTGGCAAGAAGTTTCCCTGGACTCAGAGCTCCTGGGAACAGGAAGTGCATCTTGTTCATCGGGGCCCAAATGCCAGACATAGGACAGGGCCTGGCCCACAGCAGATGCTCAGTATCACTTAACCAGCAAATGAGCAGAGTAAATGATGAGTGCCATTAGGCACTGGGGAGGCAGCCAAGTAGGGGGAGAAGGAGCGCACGAGAAAGGAAAATGGGGATTCTAAGAGACGGGTGAGCCACTGCTTCACGATTCTGCCAAGTGCTAAGAGTAACCTGTCAAGAAACTATCAGGAAAAGCCAAAACCTGAGTGATGGCCCCTAGGCTTTGCAACCCCCAGTCAGGCGCTTATCCACTACAGCCGGAGGCCAGCTCCCGGGAAAGCACACGGGGGCCCTGGAGTCAGCCCAGGACCACATGGAGGGCCAGGGCCCAAGGTCACATGATCCATCCTCCTCCCGCTCAGGTCTCCCACCTTCTGTGTGGGAGGAGGAGTTTCTCTCTGGGTGAAGGGGGGCCTGGCGGGAGCAAGAAGGGAGACCCAGCATGTGGGTCTCATTAAAGGGACGCTGACTGCTGAGAAGGCTACAGGACCGCCAGCCCCAGCCTCTGGCAAGGCCATTTGGTTTTCAGACCTTATCTCAGCCAGACACACCCGCCCCCAAGGTTCCCTCTCAGGGTCGTGCGTAGAGCTTCACTTTGAAATTAATAAATAGATCAGACATTGAGTCACTAGCCAGAGAAGTAGGACAGGAAGTGGAAAAAGTAACCCACTTCCCTCCAGGTGTTTGGGGGCTTCGGGTGGCTCCCCGCCCATTTCCATGACATCATGGTTGCTGACAGGGGCAAATAGGGCACCCTTTGAAGCTCTCCCGCAGAAGCCACATCCTCTGGAAAGAAGAGTTAAAAATACTGAGGTAGAGATAGCATCGCTGCAGGCCACGTGCCAGGGCTGGGCCGTTACACCGCCACCCACAGCAGGTGCGACAGGAAGACCCTGAGCTGGGAGGGGCTGCGCCCACGCTCAGCAGCAGGTGGGGAGGTGCGCACACCCCTCTGCAGAGACGCTCCCCGCCCCTCCTCTACCCCCCTTCCCAAGCAAGCCCAGAGATCAAACCTCGCTCTCACCTGATTAAACATTTGCTTAATACAGGGCAGGCCCTTGTGTAACAGAAACCCTCATCTCCGCCCCGGGAACTGCCCTCACGTCCAGCCCACCCTCCCCGGGAGGTATGGGGAGCCACGTCTGTCCCCACACACAGCGGAGGCCGTGGCCGTTTCTCCGAGGAAGAAACCCCAGTCCAGGCCGAGGCGGAGGAGCTGGCGGTGGCCCTGACCGACCATGCCCTGACTTAGCGGAGAAGATTCAGAAGAGCAGGAGTCGAGGAGCCACAGAACTGAAACCAGAACTGAGACCCAGCAAGCACCCTTCGGGCCTGGACGGCCGCGCTGCGGTAGTGGCCGCAGCCAACCACCTGGGGGCAGCAGCGCTCCACCAAAGAGGCCGCTTCTCCTCATTCTGTTTATTCTGGGGAAGGAGAGGCCCCTAAACTTAGGGAAAGCTTTATTCGGGGGAAAATACAAGAGCAGATGACTTTCATGCTGGGATTCGAGGCCCTGCCCTTCTCCGGTCACAGCGCCGGCCTTCGGCTCGGTGTGACCCAGGTGGGTGCCGTGGAGGAAAGGGGCTGGGTCAGCCCCGCAGGCAGCAGGGGGCGCCACCTGCCCGGGGATCACGGGCACTAGATTTGGGAGCCAGAAGAGGGGCTGGGTGGAACCCCAGGGTGAGGGTGAGGGTGGGGGCGGGGGTGAGGAGGAAGGCAGAGCCTTGGATTCAGACTCAGGGAGACAGGGCTGTCTGTTGTCCAGGATCCACCGTCTAGGATCTACCACTCACTGGCCCGGGCAGGGCACAACGGCCCAAGGCCTCAATTTCCCAGCGGGCTCCAGCTCTCATGGGGTCGTTTGAGAACCAAGATCTTCTTTCACAGGCCTGCAGGCCTGCCCTGTGCCAGACACTGTGCCAGGCCCTGGGACTGTCTCCACAAACTGCGTGACTCCGCAAGAGCAAGTTCCAGAACAGGCTAAACGAATCACCTGCCACCGAAATGACAGCTGCCTTCGGACTGGAAGGACTGACTGGAAAGGGACATGGGGGACTCTTCAGAGGTGGTGGAAACGTACCCCAGCCTGGTCCAGGGAATGACACAGGTGTATGCACGTGCCAATAGCCACCACCTGTATACCTAAGACCTGAGCACTTCAGTTCATGTAAATTATATCCCAAATGAGTGCTCTTCCTGTTAAGTGCAGACCCACTTTGTGTCCTCTAGGAGCTACCAGTCCATTGAGAACATGGGCTTGAAAGGCGTGTCAGTGACCCTAAGTGC